GGGGTCTCTATGTGTCTCTATGTGTCTCTATGTGTCCCTATGTGTCCCTATGGGGGCGTCCCCGCGGGGTTTCTCACCACGAGGTGCAGGGGCGGCAGCGCCCTGAGGGCGGCGTCGGGCGCGAGCAGGGGGGAGAGGAGGGGGTTGCGGGCGAGGGGGGAGGGGCGGCCCCAGAACGGGGGGGGAGGGGGGAGGGGCCCCCCGCGCATGCGCAGCGGCCGGAACACGTCCGGGTAGCGCCCGCCCTCCCCCACCGCCAGGGGGCGCCCTGCGCCGCCCCGCAGGATGTCCTCGATGACGTCATCGATGTCGTCATCCAGCTCCTCCTCTTCCTCCTCCCCCTCGGCCTCAGGCTCCGCCTCCTGCTTGGGAGGCTCTGGGGTGGGGGTGGGGGAAGAGACCCATAAGTGACCTCTGTGTGACCCCCCCAGTGCCCCATAAGTGACCTCTGTGTGACCCCCCCAGCGCCCCATAAGTGACCCCTGTGTGACCCCCAGTGCCCCATAAGTGACCCCTCTGTGACCCCCAGTGACCCATAAGTGACCCCTGTGTGACCCCCTGTGTGACCCCCAGCGCCCCATAAGTGACCCCTGTGTGACCCCCAGTGACCCTGTGTGACCCCCCCAGTGCCCCATAAATTACCTCTCTGTGACCCCCAGCGCCCCATAAGTGACCCATGTGTGACCCCCATGTGCCCCATAAATGACCCCTCTGTGACCCCCGTGTGACCCCCAGCGCCCCATAAGTGACCCATATCTAAGCTATGTGACCCATAAGTGACACAGTGCCCCACAACTGCCCCCCATCTGACCTGTAACTGACCCACAGGTGGCCCCAATGACCCATAAGTGACCCATAAGTGATGCACAGTGCCCCACAACTGCCCCCCATCTGCCCCCTAAGTGACCCGTATCTCATGCCATTGCTGACCCATAAGTGACACACAGTGCCCCACAACTGCCCCCTAAGTGACCCCTATCTCACCCCATTGCTGACCCATAAGTGACGCAGAGTGCCCCACATCTGCCCCCTAAGTGACCCCATCTCACCCCATTGCTGACCCATAAGTGATGCACAGTGCCCCCCATCTGCCCCCTAAGTGACGCCTATCTCACCCCATTGCTGACCCATAAGTGACGCACAGTGCCCCCCATCTGCCCCCTAAGTGACCCGTATCTCACCCCATTGCTGACCCATAAGTGATGCACAGTGCCCCACAACTGCCCCCCAAGTGACCCCCATCCTGCCCCACATCCCCCTCACCTCGTTTGCCCCCTAAGTGACCCGTATCTCACCCCATTGCTGACCCATAAGTGATGCACAGTGCCCCACAACTGCCCCACATCTGCCCCCCAAGTGACCCCATCCTGCCCCACATCCCCCTCACCTCGTTTGCCCCCTAAGTGACCCATATCTCACCCCATTGCTGACCCATAAGTGACGCACAGTGCCCCACATCTGCCCCCCAAGTGACCCCCATCCTGCCCCACACCCCCCTCACCTCGTTTGCCCCCTAAGTGACCTGTATCTCACCCCATTGCTGACCCATAAGTGACGCACAGTGCCCCACAACTGCCCCCTAAGTGACCCCTATCTCACCCCATTGCTGACCCATAAGTGACGCACAGTGCCCCACAACTGCCCCCTAAGTGACCCCTATCTCACCCCATTGCTGACCCATAAGTGATGCACAGTGCCCCACAACTGCCCCCTAAGTGACCCGTATCTCACCCCATTGCTGACCCATAAGTGATGCACAGTGCCCCCCATCTGCCCCCCATCTGCCCCCTAAGTGACCCGTATCTCACCCCATTGCTGACCCATAAGTGATGCACAGTGCCCCCCATCTGCCCCCCTAAGTGACCCGTATCACCCCGTTGCTGACCCATAAGTGACACACAGTGCCCCCCATCTGCCCCCTAAGTGACCCATATCTCACCCCATTGCTGACCCATAAGTGACGCACAGTGCCCCCCATCTGCCCCCTAAGTGACCCGTATCTCACCCCATTGCTGACCCATAAGTGATGCACAGTGCCCCACAACTGCCCCACATCTGCCCCCCAAGTGACCCCCATCCTGCCCCACACCCCCCTCACCTCGTTTGCCCCATAGCCACGAGAGCGCCCCCTGCCGGAGCTCCTGCAGCAGCGACCGCGACGGCTCCGGGGGGGGAGGGGCGGGCTCAGGATCGGGCCCCGGCTCAGACCCTGCTGGGGGAGGGGGGGACGGGACCCACATTGACCCCCAAGTGCCCCCAACCCCCCCCCCCCCCAGCCCCACATCCCCCCATGGGCCTCCCAAGTGCCCCCAGCCCCACATCTCCCCCCCATCCCATCCCCCCCATCCCCCCCCATCTCCCAGCCCCACATCTCCCCCACCATCCCCAGCCCCACATCTCTCCCCATTTCCCCCCATATCTCTCCCGTCTCCCCCCCATCTCTGCCCCCATCCCCGCCCCACATCTTCCCCCCCATATCTCCCAGCCCATCTCCCTCCAACTTGCCCCCCCATATTTCCCAGCCCCCCATCTCTCCCCCCATCCCATCCACCCCCCATATCTCTCATCCCCCCATCTCCCCCATATCTCCCATCCCCCACATCTCTCCCCCCCATCTCCCCCCATATCTCCCATCCCCCCATATCTCCCATCCCCCCATCTCTCCCCATTTCCCCATCCCCCCACATCTCCCCCCCACATCTCTCCCCCCATCTCCCCCCACATCTCTTCCCACATCTCCCCCCCACATCTCCCCCCATCTCCCCATCCCATCTCTCCTCCCATCTCTCCCCATATCTCCCATCTCCCCCACATCTTCCCCCACATCTCCCCCGATATCTCACATCACCCCATCCCTCCCCATATCTCCCATCCCCCCCACATCTCCCCATCTCTCCCCCCCACATCTCCCCCCACATCTCCCTCCCATATCTCCCATCTCTCCCCATTTCCCCCCATATCTCTCCCACATTTCCCCCCCTCCCCATCCCATCTCCCCCCTTATCTCCCATCCCCCACATCTCCCCCCACATCTCTCCCCCATCTCTCCCCCACATCTCTCCCCCATCTCTCCCCCACATCTCCCCCCACATCTCTCCCCCACATCTCTCCCCCCATCTCTCCCCCCACATCTCTCCCCACATCTCCCCCCACATCTCTCCCCCATCTCTCCCCCCACATCTCTCCCCACATGTCTCCCCCCTCCCCCCATCCCCCCCCATCCCCCCCCTCCCCCCCTACCCTCATAGGCCCTCAGGCACCTCCCCATCCCCCCCCCCATCCCCCCCCCATCTCCCCTCCCCCCCTACCCTCATAGGCCCTCAGGCACCTCCCCAGCACCCCCAGCGGCAGGAGCGGGTCCAGCAGCGTCAGCAGCCGCGAGGGGGACGCGGCCGCGCGCACCAAGGTCACGGGGTACGCGGTCACGAGACCCGCGGGAGCGCGCACGCCCACGGCGCATGCGCGCAGCGCCACCGCCAGCGCCAGGTTCCCGCCGGCGCTGTCCCCGGTCAGGCAGACACGCTCCGCGGTGGAGCCTGGGGGAGGGCGCGATATGGGGCGATATGGGGCGATATAGGGCGATATACGGCGATATAGGGTGATATGGGGCGATAGAGGGCGATATGGGGTGATATAGGGGGTGTATCGGGCGATATAGGGCGATATGGGGTGATATCGGGGGTGTATGGGGCGATAGAGGGCGATATGGGGTGATACTGGGGGTGTATGGGGCGATATGGGGCGATAGAGGGCGATATGGGGGGTGTCTCGGGCGATATGGGGTGATATGGGGGGTGTCTCGGGCGATATGGGGTGATATTGGGGGTGTATGGGGCGATATGGGGCGATAGAGGGCGATATGGGGGGTGTATGGGGCGATATAGGGCGATAGAGGGCGATATGGGGTGATATCGGGGGTGTATGGGGCGATATGGGGCGATATGGGGTGATATGGGGGGTGTATGGGGTGATATGGGGCGATATGGGGGGTGTATGGGGCGATATGGGGGGTGTATGGGGCGATAGAGGGCGATATGGGGGGTGTATGGGGCGATATAGGGCAATATGGGGTGATATTGGGGGTGTATGGGGTGATAGAGGGTGATATGGGGTGATATAGGGGGTGTATAGGGCGATATGGGGTGGTATCAGGGGTGTATGGGGCGATATGGGGCGCTATAGGGGACTCTCCCTTCTTTACGTCACCCCCTCCACATCCCATCACTCCTCAATGACACCACCCCTCCCCCTCCTTTACATCACCCCTCCCCCATCACATCACTCCTCAATGACCCCCCTCCCCCATCACTCCCCAATGACCCCTCCCCTCCCCCTCCCCCCATCACTCCTCAATGACCACCCCTCCCCCTCCATCCTTTACATCACCCCTCCCCCATCACATCATTTCTCAATGACCCCTCCCCCTCCCCCATCACTCCTCAATGATCCCCCCTCCCCCCCTCCCCTCCCCCCATCACTCCTCAATGACCCCTCCTCCCCCTCCCCCTCCATCCTTTACATCACCCCTCCCCCATCACTCCTCAATGATCCCTCCCCCATCACTCAATGACCCCTCCCCCATCACTCCTCAATGAGCCCCCTGCCCCCTCCCCCTCCCCCATCACTCCTCAATGACCCCCCCTTCCCCTCCCTCTCCATCCTTTACATCACCCCTCCCCCCCTCACTCCTCATTGACCCCTGCCCCCATCCCATCCCCCATCACATCACTCCTCAATGACCCCTCCCCCATCACTCCTCAATGACCCCTCCCCCACCCCCCACCCCCTCCCCCCATCACTCAATGACCCCTCCCCCTCCCCCATCACTCCTCAATGACCCCTCCCCCATCACTCAATGACCCCTCCCCCCCCTCAATGCCCCCTCCCCCGTCACTCCTCAATGACCCCCCTCCCCCCTCCCCTCCCCCATCACTCAATGCCCCCTCCCCCATCACTCAATGACCCCCCTCCCCCATCACTCCTCAATGACCCCTCCCCCACCCCCCACCCCCTCCCCCCATCACTCAATGACCCCTCCCCCCTCCCCCATCACTCAATGACCCCTCCCCCCCTCCCCTCCCCTCATCACTCCTCAATGACACCCCCACTCCCCTCCCCCTCCCCCCCTCACTCCTCAATGCCCCCTCCCCCACCCCTCCCCACCCCTCCCCCCCCCAATGCCCCTCCCCCGCTCACCCAGCAGCCCGCAGTTCCTCAGGGCCCAGCAGTACCCATAGAAGACGTCCTCCACCCCCCTAGGGAAGGGGCTCTCTGGGGCCAGGCCGTAATCGAGGGCGAGCAATGGGGCGCGGAGGGCGCGGGCCCAGCCCCGCAGGTAGAGCTCGTGCGAGCGCGACGTCTGCGCCACGAAGCCGCCGCCGTGCACGTGCACCACGAGCCAGGGGGAGGGGGGGAGGGGCGGCGCCGCCCCCCCCCCACCCACCCATCCCCCAACCCAACCCCCCACGGCGTGGAGGGCGCCCCCAAGGAAAGGGGGATCCGTGCTGAGGGCGCTGAGGGCGGCGCTGTCCTGTGGGGGGAGGGGAGGGAGACATAGGGACCCCATAGAGACCCATAGAGACCCCATACAGACCCATAGAGACCCATAGAGACCCCATAGAGACCCATAGAGACCCATAGAGACCCATAGAGACCCATAGAGACCCATAGAGACCCTATAGAGACCCCATAGAGACCCATAGAGACCCCATAGAGACCCATAGAGACCCCATAGAGACCCCACAGAGCCGCATAGAAACCCCATAGATCCCCCATAGAAACCCCATAGAGCCCCCATAGAGCCCCATAGAGCCCCCATAGAGCCCCATAGATCCCCCATAGAGCCCCATAGAACCCCATAGAGCCCTATAGAACCCCATAGAGCCCTATAGAGATCTACACCCATAGAGCCCCATAGAGCCCCATAGCACCCCATAGATCCCCCATAGAGCCCCATAAAACCCCATAGCGCCCCATAGATCCCCCATAGCGCCCCATAGAGCCCCATAGCACCCCATAGATCCCCCATAACACCCCATAGAACCCCATAGAGCCCTCATAGATCCCCCATAGAGCCTCATAGAGCCCCATAGAGCCCCCATAGCGCCCCATAGATCCCCCATAGAGCCCCATAGAACCCCCATAGTGCCCCATAGAACCCCATAGTGCCCCATAGAGCCCCATAGAGCCCCCATAGAGCCCCATAGCGCCCCATAGAACCCCATAGAGCCCCATAGATCCCCCATAGCGCCCCATAGAACCCCCATAGGTACCTGCCCCTGGCGCAGGCGGTGCGAGAGCAGCCTCATGCGGAGGGGGCTGGGCCCGGTGTGGGCCGCGGGGGGGGGGATGGTGACCGAGCGCCGTGGGTCCGAGGCCAGGGGCAGCTCCAGGGGCTCGGGGGGCACCGAGAGGGCGCAGCTCAGCCCCACGGGTTCACCCGCCATGAGGGCCAGGGACTGCGGGGGGACAGCGGGGCTATGGGGGGCTATGGGGCTATGGGGGCTATGGGGCTATGGGGGGCTATGGGGCTATGGGGGGCTATGGGGCTATGGGGGGCTATGGGGGGTGTGGGGCGGGGCTATGGGGGGGCTATGGGGCGGAGATATGGGGGGTGTGGGGCGGGGATATGGGGCGGGGCTATGGGGGGCTATGGGGCTATGGGGGGTATGGGGGCTATGGGGCTATGGGGGCTATGGGGCTATGGGGGGCTATGGGGCTATGGGGGGCTATGGGGGGCTATGGGGCTATGGGGGGCTATGGGGCTATGGGGGCTATGGGGGCTATGGGGCTATGGGGGCTATGGGGGCTATGGGGGCTATGGGGGGTATGGGGGCTATGGGGGGCTATGGGGGCTATGGGGGCTATGGGGGGCTATGGGGGGTATGGGGCTATGGGAGCTATGGGGCTATGGGGGCTATGGGGCTATGGGGAGCTATGGGGCTAGCGGGGCTATGGGCTATGGGGGCTATGGGGAGCTATGGGGCTATGGGGGCTATGGGGGCTATGGGGGCTATGGGGCTATGGGGGCTATGGGGGGCTATGGGGCTATGGGGGCTATGGGGGCTATGGGGGGCTATGGGGGCTATGGGGCTATGGGGGCTATGGGGGGCTATGGGGCTATGGGGGGCTATGGGGGCTATGGGGCTATGGGGGCTATGGGGGAATGGGGGGCTATGGGGGTGATGGGGGCTATGGGGGCTATGGGGGGTATGGGGGCTATGGGGGCCATGGGGGGGCTATGGGGGCTATGGGGGCAATGGGGGGTATGGGGGGCTATGGGGGCTATGGGGGCTATGGGGGCTATGGGGGCTATGGGGGCTATGGGGGTTATGGGGTCTATGGGGGCTATGGGGCTATGGGGGCTATGGGGGCTATGGGGGCTATGGGGGCTATGGGTGCTATGGGGGCTATGGGGGCTATGGGGGCTATGGGGCTATGGGGGCTATAGGGGCTATGGGGCCTATGGGGGCTATGGGGGCTATGGGTGCTGTGGGGGTTATGGGGGCTATGGGGGCTATGGGGCTATGGGGGCTATGGGGGCTGTGGGGGTTATGGGGGCTATGGGGCTTTATGGGTGTTATGGGTGCTACGGGGCTCTATGGGGCTCTATGGGGCTCTGTGGGGTCCCTATGGGGTCTATGGGTGCTGTGGGGCTCTATGGGGATCTATGGGTCTCTATGGGTGCTGTGGGTCTCTATGGGTGCTGTGGGGCTCTATGGGTGCTATGGGGCTCTATGGGGCTCTATGGGTGCTATGGGGCTCTGTGGGGTCCCTATGGGGTCTATGGGTGCTGTGGGGCTCTATGGGGATCTATGGGTCTCTATGGGTGCTGTGGGTCTCTATGGGTGCTGTGGGGCTCTATGGGTGCTATGGGGCTCTATGGGGCTCTATGGGTCTCCATGGGTGCTATGGGGCTCTATGGGGCTCTATGGGTGCTATGGGTCGCTATGGGGCTCTATGGGGCTCTATGGGGCTCTATGGGTGCTATGGGGCTCTATGGGGCTCTATGGGTGCTATGGGGCTCTATGGGGCTCTATGGGTCTCCATGGGTGCTATGGGGCTCTATGGGGCTCTATGGGTGCTATGGGGCTCTATGGGGCTCTATGGGGCTCTATGGGGCTCACCTGTTGCTGGACGAGGTCCCAGGCCTCGTGGGGCTCCCCGGGGGGGCCCTGGGCCGGGTACCCCTGGATCAGGTCCCGCGCGTGCGCCGCCATCTTGGAGAACACCTGGGGGGCAGAGGGAGCCCTGCCCCATAGAATAGCCCAGCCCCACAGCCCTGCCCCATAGCATGGCCCTGCCCCACAGCCCTGCCCCATAGCGCTGCCCCATAGCCCTGCCCCATAGCCCTGCCCCATAGCGCTGTTCTACCCCATAGCCCTGCCCTATAGCCCTGCCCCATAGCGCTGCCCCATAGCCCTGCCCCATAGCCCTGCCCCATAGCGCTGCCCCACAGCCCTGCCCCATAGCGCTGCCCCATAGCCCTGCCCCATAGCCCTGCCCCATAGCGCTGCCCCACAGCCCTGCCCCATAGCCCTGCCCCATAGCCCTGCCCCATAGCGCTGCCCCACAGCCCTGCCCCATAGCCCTGCCCCATAGCCCTGCCCCATAACGCTGCCCCACAGCCCTGCCCCATAGCCCTGCCCCACAGCCCTGCACTCACCTCGATGCGCTGGGTATAGACAATGACCCCCACCGTGATCTGCGCCGTGAAGAGCAGCAGCAGGGACCCGAAGTACTTGGGGGGCAGAGATGGGGGCGGGAGAATGCATGGGGCAGGCCCCACATGTGGCTCCCCCCCCTGCCCCACATTGACCTCCCCAGCCCCATAAGTGCCCCCCCTTCCCCACCTCCTCCCCCATATCCCCCCCACAGCCCCCCCACAACCCCCCTCCCCCCTTCATCCCCTCCCCCCACATCGCCCCCTCCCCCCCCTTTACCCCCTTCACCCCCCTCCCCCCTTCACCCCCTCATGCCCCTCCCCCCACCCCCCCTCCCCCCCCGCCCCTCCCCCCCACGCACCAGCCCCAGCAGGACCCTGCCCCCCCGCAGGGCCCCGATGCCCCCCAGGGCCCCCAAGGCCGCGGCGCCGCCTCCGACCCCCAACCAGAGCCAGGCCCCGCCCCTGAGCGCCAGCAACGGAGACCCTGGGGGGGGGAACGGGGGGGGCATCAGTGGGGCTGCCCCATAGAGGGGGTGCCCCATAGAGGGGGGGGTGCCCCATAGATGGGGATGCCCCATAGGTTATGGGGTGCCCCATACATGGGGGGTGCCCCATACATGGGGGGCGCCCCATAGAGGGGGATGCCCTATGGGGGAAGGTGCCCCATAGAGCAGGGGGTGCCCCACACATGGGGGCTGCCCCATAGGTTATGGGGTGCCCCATAGGGGGCTCGTACCCAGCACCCAGCTCAGGCTCCATCGGTCAAGGAGGGCCCAGAGGCCAAAGGCCACGAGGAGGGACCCTAAAAGCTGGGGGGGGAAACAGAGCACCCAGAGCACCCATAGACCCCCAGAGCACCCATTGACCCCATTGACCCCCATAGCACCCAGAGCACCTATTGACCCCCAGAGCACCCATTGAACCCATTGACCCCCATAGCACCCAGAGCACCCATAGACCCCCATAGCACCCAAGCACCCATTGACCCCCAGAGCACCCAGAGCACCCATTGACCCCCAGAGCACCCAGAGCACCCATTGACCTCCATAGCACCCAAGCACCTATTGATCCCATAGCACCCAGAGCACCCATTGACCTCCATAGCACCCAAGCACCTATTGATCCCATAGCACCCATTCACCCCCATAGCACCCATAGCCCCCATTGACCCCATAGCACCCGTTGACCTCCATTGACCCCATAGCATCCTATAGCATCCGTAGCACCCATTACCCCCCACAGCACCCATTGCTCCCCATAGCCCCCCCTAGCCCCCATACCCCCCCCAGCACCCCATAGCCCCCATTGCCCCCCATAGCCCCCATAGCTCCCATAGCCCCCCCCATAGCCCCCATAGCCCCCCCATAGCCCCCATAGCTCTCATAGCCCCCATAGCCCCCCATAGCCCCCATAGCCCCCCCCATAGCCCCCATACCCCCCCCACCACCCATGGGTGCTCACCACGGCCGCGCTGTTGAAGAGGAAGAGGAAGCCCCTGGCCAGGCCCAGGCAGCCCCAGGGCCCCATCGCCTGCACCCATGGGAGACGAGGGGGGGTCAGCACCCGCTATGGGTGCCATGGACCCCCATGGAGCCCATAGAGCCCCATAGAGCCCATAGAGCCCCATAGAGCCCATGA